TCGCTGTGACATTTATTAAAACCGATTTCATTAAATATTTGTTCTTCCGCTGGTTATTAGAGAAATACACGAAATCGAAATTATTACAATAGCTCGATTTGAAACTGATCGTCAGTCTGACAAGCAAAAACAAGTATACTGACGAAAAATTATGACAGATTATTTTAATCTTGTACGGTTTTCATTTTTTCGTAAGTTATTTTACTCTGATCAGCGGCACGAATTTCAAAAATATGATTTTGGAATGATTACACATGTGTATGAATATAGTATCAACGATGCACGTAAAGCTTCGCATATATGGTAACAAACATTCAAATTTTTCAAATTCAAATAAATTTTGCAATTTAATGTTACTTGTTTTCAAATTCGATTGTCTACAAGAAAAAATCTATGGTCAATCTTCTACAACAATGATTCGAGCTAGATCCCGTGCAAAAAATAGGAAGGAGGAAGTAGAAATCGATTGATCCCGCTCGAATTAGCCGCCGGGCAATTGAGAAAACTCGTCTCGAGCGACGAAGAAAGGACGATTGGCTGAATGCGCAGCAAAGGCGAACCAATGGGAAACGTGACCGCGGGTCCTTTTAACGAACTCTTTTTTTTTTCTCTTTCTTTCTTCGCTTCCCCTACTTACCTTCTTTTCCTTGCGACACGCCAAACTAACTTGTAATTTCGCTCGAGTTAAGAAGCTGCTAGTTTCGCTCTTTGAATTGAGATTCTTATTTTCCTTGTGCGGTCCCATTGGGTTTTTCGTTTTGGAAATTGAAAAATCATCATTGCCAAATGTTCACTGTTGAAAGAGTATATTTGGACTTGAGAAAGAATCGAGCGTTTCAGTAATTCATATCATTATTGGTATAAGTAGTGGATGTTAAAATGTTTCGACTTGAGTTTGCCACTATAGAAACAAATAAATACTCTGTAACCGTTTCACAATGCACACAGCTGTGACTGGCAAAAGAGTACTTCAACGTTCAGGGCCACTCAAAGTAAATTTACGTCTCTCGTAAAATACCCTGTCAGAAGCAAACGCGTCCACATCCAACTTGCGGTCTACTTTCACGCATCCAATTAATGCTCCTTCCTAGCTGCGTGCGAAGATTAAGCTTATTGCACCTTTTTTGTCGATCCTTTTTATTTTGCTATATGCCGTTGACAGCGAACAAGCGATAAACGGCGTCCGAGCGTTACAAGTTAATTCCTCGTGCGCGCGCAAACTGCACGTGTCGCTTTGCCTGGGATTTATCCCAACTCTACGCCGAAAAGCCTATTGATATGAACGTTGTTCGGAACTGCAGTGACTGGTAAGCTCGTGATTTTTTTCTATGTTTGCATGTGACTTGTTTTTATTTTCTTTTTTTTTTGTCAACTGCGTTTTGATTCACGGAGAATTTTTTTTAAATATTTTTTTTAGTTTCAACGTAGTTTTTAGATTTGTTAACGGAATGGAATTTTCCAGCGAAAATGAAAAGATTAACGAAGAATTTATATTTTTTTTTAAACGCCATGATCCTTTCGTGATACGTTTATACTATTGATTTTTTGATGATTTTACATTTCTGTATACGGTATTAAATGAAATTATTATTTTTTACCCCTTATAATTGATAATATATGATTTGACAAAAAACACTTATAAGTATGTGTCAGTAACTTAGATATTTGAAAGTTAAGGGAAAAAAGAAAAGCATAAGTCGATGTGCAAGTCATTTCTTCATTAATAGTAAAATAACGATATTTTTGTCAATATTCTCTTCTCTTCCATAGATTCATTAAACTCGAAATTTATTCTACAAAGTATTCAAATATAACTCATCAAACATATTAACTCTAACCTGAATCTATAATTAAGTTTACTTTAAATTGAACTATTAATCATAATGTAAGGCCATAGAAACTACTGAAAAAAAAAAATTCAGTTATAGAAGTGTAAAGGAAACTTTTCGCAGAACAGAAGCACTCAATTTACTAGGTAAAATGATCTCGTTAGTTCAATTACTCGCGATAATATTCTCACGCGAACTATTTCAAACTTGCAGTTTTAACGCGCGAAACTCAAAAATGCAATCTCCACGTGGGTGCGCGCGCGCGCGCACCTGGGTCGTAAATTTACGAAGATTAACATTACAAAATACATGAGGTAAGTTAACTCGTGAAAAAAAAGAAGTATGATGAGGTTGGCAGCAAAAAAAAATATCTCGAGCGACGACGAGGACGATCCTAACGCTAATTAATCACTGAGTCGAGAGAGAAAAGTTTTTTTTTTATTTTGTTTCCCGGTTGCTCGTTAAACGCCTTCGCGTGCAACTTTAAAATGCTTCACCCCCCCCCCCCCCTCTTTTTTCCTAACCCAGTGTATATATACGTTTGCCCTCGTGAACTTTAACGACGTTTTAACTTTGATGAAGAGGACGGAATTAGAATTTTCCTTAATAACTTATTGAAGCTTGTTTGCCCCCTCCTAACTCTTTATGAATCTGAGCCCCTTCTTCGTCTTCCTTAATGTAATTAAGCTTGAAATTTTTTTGCTCGAAAAAAATGCAATAGCGCGTAGCATTCAGAGGCGAAAATCTATATCTCGCGCACCCGACCGTTTTCGCTGAGCGAGTAGTGCGTTTTTGCCGTGTCGGAGCAACAAACGCGAGCTAGTTCTGGAAAATCGTGGGATTCGTGCAAAAACAAACCACTCGCTGCCACGCGTTTTCACCTCATAAACCTCAAGCTTACGACGTCAAAGACGCGTTGGTAGATCTATAGAGACTCCCGGAATGGTACTTGCGCGCGGGCGAAAAAAAAATCGACGAGCATACCGGTATTAAAAAGGAATATTACGGAAAACCGAAAATAACGTTCGCCGCTCATTGTCCGGGACGGCAAACATCATGTGTAAGCATGCATTCCCGTCCCCGTTGGAATGTGGCCAACAGTGAAGCGTCGCGATCTGACCGACCGCCAACGAGCTGTGAAAGCGTCGTTATTTCGCGCTCCGAGGAGTCATATCAGCGCGCGATGTGCTAACTTGCTATATGAAGACGCGAATTTCTCGCGGCGCGGATTGCCGCGCGTGTGCGACGCTTGCTTGCGAGAGAAAATGATTTCCATTTAACTTCTCTTTAGTTTTCACGGTTGTTCCTCGGCATACATATCTCACTAATACTTCACCTCGGTTTTCGTTGTTGGTTACAGTTATGACTTCATCCCTGGTAAAAAAAACTCGTTAACGCTCATTAAAAATCGACAAAGTATAATTAACATTTAAGTAGATCAGAAACGCACTAATTAATCGATGCTCATAAACATTCAATTTCCATTATTAATTAACTAGGGATGATTTTCGAACTTGACTAATTTAGAAGAGCAAGGTAATCCCCCTCCTCCGATAAATGCAGGTGAGTATGTACACCATTCACATCGTAAATTTCGTTTATATCAGCGAGTATAGGTGAATAATGCATATATAGCGATACATATAATTCATGGCACTCGTGCGAACTCGTGCTACATCAATGAATATTCATTCGCGCAGTTCTGGTGGTAGTGGAGGATACGCCTAAGGTTTTAGTCATGTATAACGTGAATTTTACGTCTACTTGGATTATAAGCGTCGATATATATACATATATAAGCGCATCACGAGATGGGATTAAAAGATGTTTGGCTGAGATGCCACCTATCGTCGTTACACGTTAATATTACGTTGGGCTGAAAAATTTTTCAGCCCATCTAACCGGACTAGCCTTCGCTTCGCAAATTCATTTGTTGTACTGCTTAATTTTTCGTACTTTCGCGCAATGGAGGATTCCAATAAGATTTAATCAGCCTTCGAAACGCCCAATGCTGATTTTAAAGTGAACGTTATATGAGTTCAATAAGTGGATCGTTTACAAATTAAAATTATACATCGGGAGTGTGATATTAAATGTAGAAATTTGATTCACGAATACAGCTGAAATTCATTTTGAATGCGTTTTCATTACGACACGTCCAACCGAGCGAGTGCTATCCTCTATACGACATTTATCAAGCACTTTATTGACATTCACGTGCGTGGATCCTGCCGCACGCTGACAACTTTTGCATGTTATTACTCTAATGGGAACCAATAAATGCGACTTTTTCAAGTTTCGTCAGTCGAGCGTGCGAAACGAAATTATTTATGTACATTTGACGATTGGTATCGTCGTTTCGCTTGGCAGATTCAACGAAAACGTTAACATTTTTTGAACGCCAAGCGCTACGAAATAATATCGAAAATTTTCTCATATTTCTGTGAAAATGTTTTTCTCAGATTAAAGAAAACGTTCTTCATTGCGGACAAAACAATTTTTTTTAATTACAGCAATAATTGTTTCAGGCTACCGTGAATAGCAGGTCAAAATACAATCATAATAATTGAGACAATTTTTTGCACTTAATGAGATTTTTTTTAAGAACGCAACGTCAATTGAAAAGAAAAGTTTTATTCACGTTGAAAAAGTAGGATGAAACATAACGACGATAATTAACGCAGCTGCGTATACAGAACAACATCAATGAGTAAAAGTGGATAATCCATATACAGCGATGGCTGTTTATTAACTGTCCTCTCTCTGACTACGTACACACGCCGCATATGACAGTGCAAAGGGAGAGAGAGAGTCGAAATCTCATAATTAAATCCGTGAGACGCAGGCGCGTATCGAGGTAAAAGGGTTTTTACCGAAATTGCCGCTCCCGATTCAATTAATTACCGTACGATTTATTAACGGACTGGCCAAGCCTGCTGGATATATGTAATAATTGATTAATTCTACTCGATGCTTGCAATGTGTCCCGCGACTGCATTTTCGATGACGATGATTCGCCCGCACGGCGATATATGAGTGCAGTTCGATAATTGGGAGAAAATTCGTTGTCGCGCGCGCGAGCTGAACGGGCCGGAAAATGCCGCTTCTTTTTTCGAAAAACTTTATTTGCCAATCGGCCTAACGAGGATATCGTTTGTCATTGTGTTTCAGGCGATGAAGATGAGCAAAGTGGGAAACCAAACAAACTCCCAAGATCCACAGGCAGTCAACTCGCGAGTGTTTGTCGGGAACCTCAATACGTTTCAATGCAGCAAAACCGACGTGGAGAGGATGTTCCAGCGATACGGTCGTCTCGCAGGTATGCGCGACAATAACAATCTTTTTATCTTGCGATCCACGCGAGCGTGGCTGCGAATGGAGTATGTACACCATCCTCGGATGATTTCCCAAATCACGTCAGTCTCGCGTAGCGTCAATCACAATCAGCAAGGCATGTCTTCATTTCAGTAAGCATGTCTACTGCAATGTGTATCTGCATCCGATCAGCGGCTGTGTGTATGTTGGGCTGGATTAGCAGAATGTATTTCGACATACTACTGGGAATTACATTGTTTCGTTCTAATATTATAGTTTCAATTGGATAATTGGATGATACATTTTTATCCCGGAAATACAGCACTTTGTCTTCCATTCGGACGAGTTGTGGCATTATTTAAAGGCAAGTTACGTATCCAGGCGCTCGATCCTCAAAATAAAACGGAGATATTGATAACTTCCCGCAATCGAAATGTAGTTCGTAAATAATATCTGTAAATTACTTTCGAAACTTCTTAAAGGTGACTTTCTACCTTGAAAAGAATGTTTATTTTTACAAATTAACCGATTGATCGAGGCCAACTTATTCTTTTTGACTTTGCGTAAGAAGACTTTTACATAAATGTTCGAGAGAATAAGAATGGTTATTGTCAGACTCCCCTGTAGTTGGAAAAGTCTGACTAGATGAAATAAAAACAATTTATCTTTTTTATCAACAACACTACGTGCGGACAATTCGAAATTACACCTACGCGCATATACGCGCACATACATAGTTAATTAATTACGATGATAGGTCATTCGGGCTCGTAAACAAAATCCTATGCGTGCATTCAACGGGGAGAAATCCCCGAGTAGCCTGCTGGTAGCCGATAAACAGCTTACTTTTGCGCTCATGCTCACGCTCGTCTTTCGCGTGAAGAGAGCGGGGCAGCAATAAAGTGACCCCGAGGACAATAAGGGTTCCGACCCAACAAAGCTCTTCCCCGACCCGTTCGGTCGGTGGGGTGAGCCGCCTCTTTTTGGCCGTGCGCGAACGAAAGTGCCTGTCCGTTAAATTAGCGACGACGACCATTCAGTTGACACTCGACGTCCGCTTTAGCGAGACTATTGTGCGCGCTCGCGCGCGCGTGTGTTTTAGTGATATTTATTTAGATAGTTTCGTGCCATTGTAATCATGAATGAATGCGAGGTTACGTGCAATTTTTTGGCACGACAAAGCTCAAGTTCCACGAAAATGTAGCGTCGGACGATATGTAATTAATTTTTGACTGGCAGTTTTTCGATCAAAATACATTGCGAAGAAATGTATCTTGTCAAAAGATCTGACGTTCAATTTTGGAGCTGAACAAATTTAGTATAGCAAACATATTTTTAAATGACTCGTATAAGAAAAAACGACTTGCTTACAGGCATTTCCATGCATAAAGGATATGCATTCGTGCAGTTCACAAACCCGTTCGACGCCCGCAGTGCCTGCTTGGGAGAAGATGGCCGAACGGTACTCAGTCAAATTCTCGGTGAGTGTCAAAGACAAACTGTTATTTTGTGCGAATGAACTGCGTTCGAGTGAAAAGCGAAGTCATTTTAAAAGTCAACTGGAAATAAAGCGAAGGCTCGACATTATCGCGTTGAAAAAGTCTTGAGGACGGTCGTCAAACAGGGCGTAAACCGGCGAACAGCACGCGGCAAAATCCCGACGGCGAGACAGTCATCGGTCGACGAGCACTCGGGCGGACGACGCGCGGCGTTGCGGCATCTGGCTAAACAAGAGCGCGCGTCACGCACGACGCGCACTCGCCGATTATTATCAGCGACGCGCTACCAGGTGGTCCGCGAAGCGAAATCGCGACGTCGCGCGATTCGCGATCGCCTCGTTGTCGTTTGATCGCACAGCGTTCCGTTTTAATCGGCGCTCCCTTTAAGCTCGCCTCGTTTCGTCGTCATACGATCGGAACGTGCGATCGAGAACCGTAGGTGAAAAAAAAAGGTTCTCGCGCTAACTCAACGCAACGACTCAAATATTTCTTTGGACTAATGCAGAAGCCGTGTATCCACGATGACAACGACGAGGAGAAGCCGCGGGCCACGCGAGTCTCCGCCGCTTACCGCTATACTTTTCTTTCTCGAGCTTGTCCTTTTCTTTCGGACTTGTTTTTGCCCTCACCCCTCACCTTTATTCTCCCGTTACTCGCTTACCGTCAAATTATTTCTGGCTAGATTTGTAATCTTACGGAAAATAGGTAGGTGTGCAGAAATTTTATTTTCTAACTTTGTTCATGCTTAATAAGTAAAGATTGCGTATCCGTTTTCGCGATTATCTGTTGGACTTGCGTTTAAGCAGCATGTTCTTATCAATCTGCAAATATTGATTACCATGGAGGCTTGCAGTTAAAAAATTAATGAAATTAATTAAGAAAAAAAATCAGTATTGCGATTTTCAAAAAAAAGAAAAGAAAAAACGTCACTCAATTTGCTTCCACAAAAGCCAAGAGGCAAATATCCCTGTCGAGCGTGTGCTTGCAAGCACCCGACACCAACGTCGTCTGGCTTCCTACACCCTGTTTTCACGTACGTCATCGTGTACGCTGTATTTGTTTAATACCATGAAAAAAAACTCGTTAGGAAACTAGCCATCGAATTTTCTTGAAAAAAAAGAAAAGAAATACGGACCTTATTTTTTTTAGACAGACGCAGCTCACGGAAAGCCGTGTGGATTACATCCCTTCAAGAGTGTGAGTGTGTATATATATATGCAAGGCTTTTAACGCTCATTTGGTGCACGAGCGTCGAGACCATAAAGAGAACGCGCGAAGCTGGATTAAGCTGACGCGGACACAGACGCGCGCGTGGCGTGGTGATAATAAAAACTTTATTCGTAACGATACTCTCTTATACTTCTCCTTTTTTCACGCCTCCGTTACTGCGGACGGATTTCTTTTTTTTTGTTAGCATTCCGGGAGTGAATTTCATTTGATACAGTCTTCGAGTGATAATAATTTCAAGCAAACTATCGCGAAACAAACACGTTCTCCGTAATATTTCTACCAGCGACAGAAAAATCGTAAATACTGCGTTCGCGTCTTTTTAAATTCAGCGATCACCGCATCTATCTCGAAAGCTCTTCCATATTTGAAGAAGCATCCGCGCTGTTAAAAGGATCGCATCGGGGATAGTTTTTATCAATGAAATGGTGGAAGGACAGTATTCCATATCATATCGAGGACTGGGTGTACCTAAGAGCCTTTCAAGAAAATTAAACGCGAAAGGTAAGAAGATCACATGTACTCAGAGAGTGAGGATCGACTCGCCGTATATACCGATGGAACGAGTTTTTCAATGTAAACACATGGAACTTTTTCATTTTCTATATCTCGCGCTTGCATCTCTCTCTCTCTCTCTCTCTCTCTCTCTCTCTCCCTCTCGAAGAGTATTGCTTTCAGTTTTAATATGTACGTGGGTAATACTTTTATACAACAAACAATTTCCTCGCGATCATCAAAATCAAATATATATATATCACTTTTGCCAAGGGGGGTTTCTGCTGAAAATTGTAAATTTCCATTTGTGCGTTTATAACTCTGAAACTTTGGACATCTATTCTTCGTAAAATGATAAAAGTTTTATGCTTTCACCGAATTTTTTTTGTTTTCAAAACTCAATTTATAATAATATTAAATTCGAAGTGTTCCGCGTGCGTACTAATTTAACGAGAATTGTCGTTCGACGACTCATTTCCTTCAATAGAGTAAACTTTTTAAAAGTTACTTAAAATCTTTACCGAAACCCATCTCATACTGGAATAAACAATGAAATGCAAGTGATATTTTAAAAAATAAATGAAAAACTATTCTGTTTTCTGACATTTCATTAAATTTTTATGTAAGGCTTATTTTGACGAAGGAAGTGAATGAAAACTTGCTACTTGATTCTTCACAAATAAAAATAGAATCATAACAATTAGATCAGATACATCTCAAGATGTTCTTTTTATGAAGTAAAATAAGCTATTAAAATTTTAGAATCCTACATAGAGATTTTGTAATTTTATGTATAAGAATACGTGAACTAGTTGTCAAATTTAAGTGAGTACTCACTTTAATCTAAAGAAATTACTGTCAAATGCTAACAAATATCCACAGGCATGATCATGTTTCCACCAAAGCTTCGGCATTCATACTTGAAATATACACGCTGCAAGAGTAAGTTAAAGGGCATATAAGGAATAAAAAAAGAAGAGGAACGGAGAGAGTGAGAGAGCGTGCGAGCGCATCCGATAAGCCCATGCGGAATAATTCAGCGATACAGGAGAAATGCTCTAACGAGCTACTACTCTCCTCTCTCTTGTGCTCCCCAAGGCATCATAAGTCAAACGTACGTAGATACTATATACCGCAAGCCGAAAACTCCTATATGTGATCGTAATCTCCCGTGTCTACATATCTACCTATACACGTATAGTCGTATGGACGCAGCTGAGCCCTCCTCGTTCCTCCTCCGCTCCTCCCCTTTTTAGGTTATTTTAACGATATTTTTAGGGTCTCCTCCCAACTCCTCCTCGGCTCCTTAATGCTCCACCCCTATGTTTAAATGCAATTTCATCTATAAAACGGTAATTATGGTCATTAAAAACGATAGCTTGGCTATGAGTATTAAAATTTTTATTTATAATTTGGAGTATTACTGCAACTTTTATTTTTCTAAATCCAGAAATTTAATAATGATGTTATAATACAAACATCTGACAAATGATGATTAGGAATTGACTGCAAATCAAATTGTTAAAGAACGGTATAAAATTCCAGCAACATGGAAAGTTTTGATAATAAAATTTATATATTTTTGATTTCTAGTTCTTGGATTTTGTGGTAAAATATGGTGGAATGGATTTTCAATAGTAGTAGTACATTTAATGTATTTACGTGAAAACAAATTGTTAATAAAGAATTGATGATTTAGTTTTCATGATTAATCGAATACTAATTATGATCATTGTAAATCAATCACTGTGATTCTATTACGATTTACCGTGGTTTACAAAACGTCATAATTAGTATTATTTAAAAACTTGTACACAATCTATTGATTCTATCGTTTTTCTTTATCTGGAGAGTTGCGTTTTTAAATATTTTTCTCGTATCAGCGATGGTCGGTGAAATTTATTGCTGATTAAATATTGAATTTCTTAATTTGGAAATTTCTCATTCAAGTCGCGAAAGGACATCCGATTATAAACAGGAAATGGTCACGAATTCGAAGATCACGAGAAATTCGTTTTGTGCGTGCTGGCGATTCGATAAGAGTCCATCAAATTTAGATAAAAGTAACTAATGCGATCACCCCGGTTCCGAATCGTAAACCATCCCTTAAAACTCTCCGATTTCGGAAATGAACGACGAAGTCCGTAGATTATCAATTCAGAATAAAAAACTGATCATCTAAAATAACCTATACAATTTGTAGCCATAAAAATAACAGATAAAAGCCCACGTGCACCAGATGATTATCGTTCATTTGGAATATTCATAAAAGTTTTAAAAGACCAAGAAAGAACTTTGGTGTCTATATCATCATTTTTCAAACAAAAAGCTAAATATATATATATTGTATTGTCGAAAAAACGGATTGTACTATATTCACGCTCGTTTGAAGTCGTCGTCGTCAATAAAAATTCTGTGCGAGCGACGCAGATAAAACGCGTATCACGCGGACGATATCCATATATTTTCTTGTCCGCGCGCGACGAATGCTATTGCAGGATGTATATGCCCCGTTTCGTCGCGCGTTCGACTACATATGATTTTTTTTTGTTTTGATTTGATTATCCCGCGAACGAGAAGGATCGACATAGATAGCAGTTTTATATTGCCTTCGGCTGACTTTCAAATTTAAGTTGAACCTCGTTCTATATTTCAACGTATGAAGCTCTACGAGGTACCTCGTAGAATAATCTGCAGCTTGCGAACGAATTGTCTTTTTGAAAATTGCTTTATCTGATAACAGCACTACTCAATTTTCGAGTAGCCTTCTTACAATTTTTTTCGAAGTAAATCGTTACTTTTGTATTTTGCTATAATCAAAAATAATTCACCCAATGAAATGTTTCGAAGGTGGTCGCTTTAAAAATGTCGTTACAAAATAAAAAAAATGACGACAAAGAAGAAGCCGTGCGTTATTTAAAATTCGACGCGCCAACGTGAAATCAATGGAAGCTAAATCGCGAAGCTGAAATAAGCGAGCCGCAGCGGTCACAGCGGGAGGACCGGGTAGGACGAACTTTGAATGCCTTACCCTCATCATTTAACCGACGTGCAAAAAAGCCGCAGACTCTCCAATATTTGCGCCAGAGAGATAGGAGTTCAAACAAATCGACAGCAGCGCGTGAAAGTGAGAGGCTGACGCTTGATTAATAATACCCCAAGCATGATTTCCGCGGCTAAAGCAATTGAAGAGATATGAAAAGCCAGTTAGTTAGATGATCAAACTCTTCCGCTCCTCCGCCCCTCCACCCCCAAAGCTC